CCCTTTATAATTACTCATTTTCACAAACTAGGTCTCTGTCTGAAGTCCCGTCAGTTCTCCAAGACGTGGTGGTCATGGAAATGCATTCGGGATTTCTCAGTCTGAGGCAGTGGAACTTACACTGGCAGCCAGGGAAGGGTCTGAGCTTTGCTGCTGGATCCGACCAGTGCCATCGCTCCTTTCCTGACAGCTCAACTATATTAATGACTAGTTCATTATAGACATATTAATATAGTCATATAGTTCAATATAGCCATATTAATGACTATACTAATGTCTGGTTCTTTGCATGCAAACAAACCATCAACCAGGTACCCACCCAGCTGCCCATATGCCCATTTGCAAAGACAGACCCTTGGCTTGGCTCACATTGCAAAAGCCCTTGGAAAAATCCTAGGAGATGCAGGACGTTCACGTTCAAGGAGGTGCTCCCACCGGCAGCTCTCAGTCCACCCCACCCACCTGCTGAGCAGCAGTTCACCTTTACGAGACGAGTGAGCAATTCAGGATACAAGGGGGTGATTCCAATCTGTGGACACCCACGATATCAAAAGGCCAGGCAGATGCTGAAACCTTGCTTGAAATGTTTGGGAACAACTAATAAATACAGTGAATGTTGATCAGTGAGCTCCTGCCTGTCAGATGGCTGGCCTGGCATTACTGATGATCTTCTGCAGGAGTATCAAGCAGGGGAACAACTAGGTGATAATCTCAAGAAGAATCACCCCGAGAGTTATCCTCCCTCACAGAAATGTCTCGGCCAGGTGTTGAACAAAGAAAGGCCCCATAACCTTGAAACATTTTCAGACATGAAGAGAAAGGGATGGCAAAGCTTCTGGAAAGCAGGTCATATTCAAAGCAGCCAGGGGTTTATTTGGAAGTACGTTACTGCTGCTGAAAGCAGATAGCTGGATACCAGAAATACCACCATAGCCAATAGACCTATTCCTTAGGCACAGGCAACACCGGACGGAGCAGTAGGAAAAAGAAACTTGGTAATTGTTGGTAACGTATGATAGGAGTCCCGCTGAAACTTTCCTAGGCCATCTGCCTGTATAGCCGATGGAGCCAATGTGATCCAACATGAAAAAAAAAAGACATTTCCCGAGACTGTGGCTTGTGCCTTGTCTTTAGAGCCACACAAAGGACACAGAGCAGCTGAGCTGGAGCAGTCCTCATCGTTTACTAGCTGATAGCAAAACTGCTACGAAGAAACCCAAACTTACATGGGGGTGGGGGGACATGTTACTTTGCACACAGCGCTCACCTTAAATAATGGGCACAAAATGAGTTGCTACCTTGGCTATAGATAGAATTTTTTAATACTCTGCTTGGGTTCAGCAGCAATACAGCCTGCCCAAAGGATCAGCAGCTTCCAATACAGACACAAACAAGGGTTGCGGGGATGTATGTAGCAGTGTGCTCTCTTGGGACTGATATCTCCAGCACATCTGCTGGCTGGAAGCAAAATGCTGCTGAAATTTTTGCAGCAGAAGAAAAACTGGCTTTCACCAGCACTTTTCCAGATATTGCAGGAATTCATATAGCATCTTCCTGGACCTAACACGCGTCTACTGGTATCAGCGAATGCCACTAACACCTCACCTTAGCCTACCAGGGTGGAGCTGATTCCAGCCAGTCTTGCCATGTAGAAATTATTTCATCTTCCACTGCACTAACTAGTGAGCAGGAATCTGGCAGTCTGCAACGTGAGCCCACTGTGTAACAAGTTTTGCAGACAATGGAGTTCAAAGGGAACAACAGGGAATACCAACATCCAAAACCGTCACAGAGCTTATGATATTGAACTGTACCTGTTCCGTCAGAAACTTATGTATCAGTATCTGTCAAACCACTGAATCCACATGCATTACTAGGGGACTCAAGAGCACAGAGCTGTTGCAGCTGCAAACATCTGCCAGGGAGACAACAGGTAACAAAGGTGAGGATGATGTGCAGATAACGGCAATGAAGATCTGGAGGAGTGGGAGACCTTGTCTGAAATACATGCTTGTCTTCTAGAGCCTCTCAGGATATCTAGCATGCTTTCATCAAACTAAAGTATCTGTGATGTATTTACATAAGGAATTGGTTTTAGTTCCTTATTTCTATTAAAAATCTCTTTTGACCAATAAAGAGGTAAAATTCAACCATTATAATTCAAAAATAACTGTATTCTCAAATAGGCCGTGTCATGATTAAGGATGTATCATACCTACTAATTCATTATATCTAAAGAAAACCCACGTATGCAGAAGATTTTCTGAAGAGGAAGATTCACTGAGATGTGCCATCGTAAGTGGTACCAAAGCTGAAAATTTTGATCAGGCTCACTAACTAAACAAACCTCATGCAGACCATAGGTCAGGTTGTCCATAAATTTTCTCATCGCCTGTGTCTGGAATAAGAGGGGTGCTGTTCAATCTGCTGCTTTGGAAACCTCTAAAGGACTTAATTCTCCCTGTACACAAGGCAGAGGAGCTGGCAGCCCTGGACCAGTCTGAGACCTTCTGGAAATCTCAGACCTTCCCCTCTGGAGTCAGACAACTCCAATTCCCTGAGGATTTGTTCAAGTGGGACATGAAAGCATATTGCAAGCTCACGTCACTCTCAAGCACTTTAATTCCCATGACTGGCACCAGACTGTGCTGCAGATGACCCCAGGACATGGTGCTCTGCCCACTGCTGGCCAGGCGGAGCTGGAGCACCAGCACCCCCGCAGACCTGCGGTCTTCTCCCTGCTCTTGGGGATGTGTGGGTCATATTTCATCTCCCTCAGAGAATAATTTTAAAGCATAGGGTAGAGAAGGTTGGCCCCAGCTTCCCACACCTTGATATAAATGGTGCTTCACTAAGAAAGCCCCAGGAAGCGCTCTGGCTCTAAAGCGGAGGTTATCCTGCTAGATGGTTGCCTGTTGGGATCTGTAACAGCAAAGCCTGACACAAGGGTCAAGACAACACAGGCTATAAATCATTCAGATTTATTTTATATAGGATGCGTGATCCCAAAATGTGAGCTAACACTCCTCTGAATTCCATACTCAGACAATCTTTCTTAACAATGTTCAAGGAAAAAACTATCAAGATGGGGGAGTCCAGCTGTAACCCTGTCTCCCCTCCTACCCCAACACTCTGAAGAATGACAAGTGCAGTTTGATACTGCAAAAAGAGATGCAGAAGGAGAACCTGCAACAAGGGATGAACCCTGTGCCCGTGGTATTGGGCTCACCTGATGAGTTACCACCCTCTGCCCTGTCACCTTAAAGCTCAGTGGGGACACCGTCTCACAAGACCTCGCCTAGTGGCAGAAGAGCCTGCCAGATCCTGACATGGAGCCAATCTCTCTGCCAGGAAGACCCAGGCCACCGTGCTGTCTCTGAGACAGCTAAAAGCTGCAGGGCATTTTCCTGTGAAGGCCTCTCTTGTGCAGCGTTGCCACACACACACCCCGCAACATGCCTTTTGAATACATAAGGAAGAGGACAGTGTCACACTAACACTGTTTGCATACTGATAGAACTTTTCGAGCCCCCAGCAGCCTGCTGTGAATTGCTGAACACTCTCTGCTCATACTGATGACCACGGAAATCCCAGCTCTGATTTTCCCGGGAGTTAAGGGAACGCTCGATATCTCTCTGGATCAGACCCAGTGCAAGCCAAACTGGATGCTGCCTTATGAATTGGAAATTCAGGGGCACAATCAAAGTGTAGGAGGTCAAGATTAAAAATTAAACCCAGCTGCATACTTCCAGACTCATTTTAACAGTTCTCTAAACACCTGACTTTGTTATTGTTGTTCTGTGATTATTTTTTTTGCAGAGCCGGGAAAGAAGTAAAAGGTACAGCGACGAGGAGGGGAAAAATAAGCACAAACATTCCAGAAGGCAAAATTTCAGTCAACCATGACTCAGGAGAAGAAAGTGCCACCCACTGAACGGCGCAGGCCGCAGCTCCACGTACCGCGGCAGCAGGCAGTGATGCTGCCGTGAGTCAGGAGCCACCCACGCCCCCACCCACGCCGCTTCCTGCGGCGGCAGGGCACTCCTCGGAGGGCTGCCACGCGGCGCGGATCTCGCTCAACCTTTCCTTAGCATATGAGATGTGACAGGAACACAGCCCTGGTGTGTTTGGCCGGAGACATCTGTAGCTCGCCCTCGCTCCTACTTGAAGCCGGTCCAGGGGACTCCCTCTGCACAGTTATCTGTATAGCTGCAGTGAAAATGTCAATGAATCCCCGTCTGTCAGAAGACAGAGGCACCCAGGACTTACGGGCTCTGTCACTTCACTTCCAACAGTTGTGACGGTAATGAGCTGGGATCACCTTAGCGGGACTACAGCAATACAGCTATGATGCTGCTGCTTAACACAGTTGCTCCGAAACACAGTTCAGCTGCTGCTATTAATATCTACCACACATTAGCATCAGTGTTCTTCACTACCTTTCTCTACTTTCATGATGGGATTCGTGGCAGAGATATGCCCTATAAAATCCAGCGCAGCAGCTACACGAGGATGAGGCTTAAAATGCATTTCACCAAGTGACAGCACGTATACCTGGCTACAGAGCAGGCTGCTGCCCGATATTTCTTTGAGAGGCAGCGATCATCATTTTAATGCAGTAATTGAGTTGTCTGCCCAAGTGCCAGGCTTCATAGTTCATATAGAAATTCTAGGGCTATCTAATCCCAGATCATATGCTGCAGCCAAAACCCAAAAGTAGAAGCGAGGCAACGAGCCAAACAAGGGGCACATGAGAAAAAGGCATGAAATGAACAAGTGGAGGCTGGATTTGCTATGAGCATAAAAATCCCTCTACCACGGTATACTCACCATCCTGTAATTCAGTATTTCTAGCATGTGGATTGCCCTTCCTCAGTGCTATCCACGTCCTCTTCTGCACGTGTAGCAAACAGCCACCTTGCCCTAAAAACCACTTTGGACTGGAAAGCCTGTCTGCAGCATGTCCTTAGCCGTGCTGCTTTCTCCCTGGCTGTCCTTACCTTCTTGCAGAGAACCATCTGGTGATCAAAGAGAAAGAAAACACGCTGCTGGTTCCGTCCATAAGGCTGGTAAATCCAGGACATCTCTCCCGTGTAGATCAACTCGGAGCTGCGGTCCAAGATATCGTCTCCCTAAAGGGCACAGAGAACGAGGCCGAGTGAACCGCCGCTCCCAGCCAGGGCAGGGGATACACTTCTCTTTGCAGGACGGGGAGAAGCAATAATTAAATAAGATTTTGGCCCTTCTGGAGGTCTCAAAGCCACCCCATCTGACTTCAGACCAGAAACTGGAGATAGGGGAGAATTCTGAAGGAAGGGAAATAAATAAGTGTGGACACTGGAAGCACGGTCATTACCGTTCACATGCAATGAGGAAAGAGCTGCTCCAGACACTGTCCCTGTTCCCCCCTCTCCAGGCACCCCCAGACCCTGGATCTCGCTGCAGGTGCCCGTGGCATCCTGAGAGCCAAGCCCCTTCCTCCTGCCCATGACAGAGCCACGTTCTATTCAGGGTAAGAAATTCCCTTCCAAACAGCATCCCAAAGCATGTCCCCTCCTGAAATCTCAGGCCAGCTACCAAAGTCATCTATACTGGGATATCAATTCCCCCACCCGTGAGGCTGCCAAAACTCACCCCTCCAGATTGTTGCCTCTCTTCCCACTCATTCAGGCAATTACAGTCCCTTCTCCCATAGCTCATTAGAGCTCCCCACCTCCAAAAAACTGTCAGGACCACCCCGGCTCCTCTGGCAGCCTCCGGCCCCCCCGGCTCGCAAGGCCTCCCCAGCTGGCTGCCAGAATGCCCTCACCCTTTTTCTGCCTCCGGCTAACGCTTGTTTTCCTCTCCGATTTTTTTTGAGGATTCATGAGCAGATGGTCTTGAAAACACAGCGCGCTCTCTCCCACTCTCCGAGAGAACAAATGCAGTCACCCTCCACTAATTGGGATGAGCTGGACTTTTTAAAAAGTTAATTAAAATGTATTTATTAAAAATGGGTGAATTCACCACCACCTGCCCTGTGGGCATCTCAGTGTATCTCTCACTCTGAAACACCACAGAAGGAATCAGGATGACTTCAGCTAAAAGGTAAGGAGCAGGATTCAGGAGCAAGTGAGAGAAAAGCTTTCTTTTTTTTTTTCCTTTTGGCTCTGAAACTAGTGCAATTCTGGCTTTGATGCCAAACTAGAACCAATTTCTGGGACAAGACCATCACAAAATCTCAGCAAACAGCTTGTAAAGGTTCAGCCAGCTATGGGGGGCATCTAGATAGACACGCTTTTCTGGTACTGCTTACACTTGTAGGTGCCAAAGCAACCAAGAGTCGTCCCCACTCCTAATTTCTTGGTGAGGATTTCAGACTGCTGTTCAGGTAAATGTGTAATTAACCTCTCAGCATTGATTGGAAGCGACTGCCTGAGTCCCTGGGCCCTGTGACAACAGCAACTTCATTAAGTCGCTGCATCATCATGCTGCAGCACAGACTTTCAAATCGCCTTAGCGAGGTATTTATCCACCTCTCTATCTCACTTCTGTGGCTGTGGTATCTGAAAGCCTAATTAGGTATAACTTCCCAGGAACACAGAGGGTCATTCCCAGAAGGGATGGGCTGTGCGTCACGCAACGTCTCAAGAGCGTGGTGTCAGGGTCCGATTTCAGCCATGGTACCTCCTGGCCAGAAACCAGGGACCCATGCGCTGCTGCGACAGCTCAGGTACACGCAAGCCCTTGAACAAGAAGCCTCTGAAGAAAACACACCGGCTCCAGAAATTGCGGGCTTTCCTGGCTAAACATGAGCTTATATGAAGAAGATTCATACAAGCCTATGGATGGGAGCTTTTATGAGAGGGGGCGAGCCTAGAAGAGGCTGGCTGCTAAAAATAGAAAGCCAGTTTTGTCTTTTACTCCTGTGGTAGCATCTCAAGCCTGAGGACACACAGAGGACTCTGTAAACACTTCTTCTTGATTAGCTGAATCCAAACTGTGTAGTCCCTGCATGCAAAATAAACCAAAAAATTTAGATCTGAAATTGTAGGATTTGTACTGCATTTTTTATGTGGGAAAACAATTTTTATATACAGTCTATAGGCTAGAAATAGATAATTTCCAGTGCTGGGTTAGCAAATTTGGAAATACATATTGCAAATAGTTTTGGACTAGCACACGGCTGGCCAGCCTTCAGCCCCAAGAGCAGCAGCTCCATGGCCCTGCCTGTTCCTCAAGCCCTTGGCTGCTGTAGCAATACACCGGTGTGGTTGCGCTGCCAGACCTCCTGGAGCAGATGCAACGAACCGTGAAAGGTGGGGTTTTTTCCAACACAGTTATACCACCTCTTTGAACAGCATGAACTGTCTTCTGCTGGTGGAGCGTCCCTACTGGGGAGGCTCATGGGGTCAGTTGCAGGGTAGCGGGCAAGAAGGGTGGCATTTGCTTCTCTGCTCCACTGCTAACACGACTACCCCAGCATACCTCCATACCTGGTCCTGACTTGAGGCAGGCTTTCTGCAATGCCCCTCCCAGTCCTTCTCTAAAGCCAGTCCTAGGCCTGGATCCCTTCAATCCTATACAAAACTAGGAAAAAATTCTCTTTTCCTTTTCAATTTTTTCCCAAGCAATTCCTTGAGAGGCTGGATCATCTATATCCTTCTGTAAGTTAAGAGAAATACTGCTAAAAAAGGAAGAGGCTGAACTTTTTTTTATTCTGAACTGGCAGATGTCCTACTGACTTCAGCAGAGCACAGCAGCAAAATGGCCAAGAGAAGACTAGATGACCTCCTGAGGTCTCTTCCAACCTGAGTTATCCTATAAGCCTATAATAAAGAACCTCAGCCCTCCCCAGCCTGCATCAAGGGTTTGCACTGTGCATCCTGCCCTTCCATACAAAGGGCAGGAAAAAGAAAGCCGACTCCTTTTTCCTTCATGCAGTCACAGGCAGAGTCCAACTACTTAGTGTGCAGTCAGGGGAGCAGAAGGTCACCCAGATCTAGGTTGGACGTGTGCCTCACACTCCCTCGAGCTTGCCAGCGCTAGAATGACATATCAAGTCCTGGGGCTAATCCCGACCGTTGCAGCAGAGGGTCAGCTCTTCTGCTGCTGCTACAGAAAGAAGTCGATCATCAGCTCCTCAGCTATGCTATAGGTGACCACCACTTTCTATAACGAGGAACCAGAAGGGTTTTTACTAGCGTCATGAAAGAAACGCTGTTGGGAGCACCAACATTACAAGGAAGGGCACGGCACTGCGAGCTGCAGCACGTTACACCTCCCAGTCTGCCCCGCTCCTTCTTCCCACGAGCAATCCCTGAGCAGACACCGTCCCAGGCTCAGAAATGCTCATCAGCCCATCGGACCCGCTCCCCTACACCCGAGCCCACCTCCTGACGTGGCTCTTTGCTGTCACTGCTGGGCACAAAATCCCCTTTACTAGTTAACATTCAGCAAGCAGGGCTCTCTTCTGCCTGACACTGCTGTTCTTTAATTAGAGATTGACAGGCTGATTAGCACTCTGGGCTACAGAAAGATCAGAAAAAGGAAAGTGAGAGAAATGTCCTTTTCATCAGGCTCATTTTTTGATACCTTCTGTTGCTGGAGGGGGGGGTTGGGGAGAAAAAAAAGAAGGATCTGTTTCAGTCCCTGATGTGATTTTTTTCCCAGGAGGATTTCTCATTGGGCTGTCCCTCACTTTGAAAACAGTACATTGGTTGCATGCATCATTTTTCATGTCATTCTTGGATTCAATAACGTAATATTAGGCTGAGGCCAACTATTATATATTACATAATTAAGGGCACCAAGTCTTGATTTAAAGGACACGTAAATAACAAGAATGGGAAGAAATTTAAAAAGACAGTGTTCATTATATTTCTCAATTATATATATTTTTCTCTTCATGTAAATTTAATACTCTTGAAACCTGCCAAAGTGGCAACCCATGGGAATCTTTGGTAGAAATATCTAGATATCTACATAAACCAAAGTAATCTGTTTAAATAACAAGTTAAAACTAATCCAGGCTGGTGAGCAAGGCTCTCTCCTGTACCAAACATCCCGCCACTGGCTCAGGGACCTCCATAGATCCCCTCCCAGGGAATGGGTGCCACAACGCCTCCCTCCTCTGAGAAAAACCTGGGCTGAAAGGGAGGAAAGCATTGCCGGCAGCTGCCACGAGGGCTGGAGAGGGAGCCTGAAATGCCGCAGGGATCGCTGCTTCGTTTTGTTTTGACGTGGTTCAAGAGCTGTATGAAAAGGCACAAAATAGAGCAATTCTGAGGTGTGCCAAAGCGCAGGTCTGTTTTCCATCTCCACATCACCTGTAACGGGCACTCAGCAAGGGTGCAGTTGCACTCAAGGCTGCGGTGGGCACCGCAGCCATGCCCAAGCAACCGGCAAGCTTGCAAATCCTGCCCAGGAGCAGCACCGCAGCGAGCTGGGCACTGCAGCATGCTCGCCAGCATGCCTCCGTGGGCTTGCAGGAGCCATAAGGAGGGCAGGAGAGCGGTGAACACGCTCCTCTGCTGGCTGTCCGGCAAAGGCTGCACAGGAGCAGACATAGAGAGGAAGGCAGGGACGTACTGCTCCTTCACTCCCGCTGCCTCATTTGTGTGCCTGTAAATACAGCACTGCCCAAACTGGGGCTTGCAAGGACTTAGAAATGATGATGGGCTTTGTGGAAATAATCTCTTTATAGTACTGTTGTGTGTGTACATATATCTAGATATTATCCACTAACCTTTGAGATCTGTAACTCTCTCTCAGAGGGCAAGAGCACAAGAAGGGACTGAGCGTGTAAAGGCTGCCCAGGGTGGGCTCTGTCTGGCCCATTTGAAGTCTGATCCAGAGGAGACTTCACAGGCTGCTCTGAACCCGCTCCAGCTAACTTTGTGTGCCGGTTTTGCCTGCCTGCCTTTAAATGTCACTGTTTTGATCGGAGGGTATTTAACCACAAGTAAGGGGATGACGCTGAGCGAAGGGAAATAGAGGTTGAACATCAGGAAACACTTCATAACAACGAGAGCTCTCAGACATTGAAAGGTCTCGGCAGGAGGTGGTGGAAGCCCTACATTCTGCGCCATTAACAACTGAAAGGACAAAAGGCACTAGAGAATTCGGTGTAGGCAGAGGCAGCACCTCTCTAGGTCTGTTTATATATTGGAAATTCAGGTTACAAAATAAAGAAGTGAGTCATATATGGCAACAGTCCAATCCAGGCTTTTCAGTCAAGACCACGTTCCTACGAATTATACAGGAACACATTTCAAAGTGATTGGGGTTATTTCTAATTTACAGCAGTGAGTGAGATCAGAATCTTCCCTTAAGATTCTGCTCAGTCATTACTTGTATATAGCTGCCAAAGCTGCCAATAATTCCTTAAGACTTCATGCCCTGGCTGCCACAGCACGGTTATCAGCTGCCACTAGAGTCAGGCCACCCTTTCTTGGTCCCATTCGCAATTCAAACCATCAGACCCTGCTTACGTGACTTCTTGGGAAAAAAAATCTGGCCTTGGTTAACTCAAGGACATTCGCGTTTTTCAAACGCTGACCCTGAAAATTCACCTTCACAGGGCCATGCAGAAAATCTTGAGTGATAAAAATGATTCCTGAAACACACAGGCACACAGGTGCAAAGGATTCAGTAAAATCCTTCTCCTTATATTAGCTAGGACATGCCCCCTACTTTTTCTACTAGTTTTAGGGTCACCAATATGTATGCATTCCCAATACCACCCTCTCCTTGCAAGAAAATGTGTACATACACTTTGTATACAAGGACATTTCAAATATTCACGCACTAAGTATTTTTTGTTTGGTTTGATTTTTTTCTTCTTCTTTAAAAATCTTTTTCCAACATCTCATCGCAAAACACGGGTAAATTTAGAAATGAAAATGCAATTTCAAATCAGAGAGTCAACATCGTTAGTCTAGAGATGTTGAGGAAAAACAGACATTTCTCCAAATGAAAGATTTCAACGTGCTTAAACATTTAGCCTTGGTTGCTGCTGAAATAATTCACCAAGTGCAACATAGAGTGGGAATTAGGGATTATCTCTATCTTGTGCCCTGGCTGGATTTCTGGTGGAAAAAAGCCTGAACTGGTAATTTTTTCTCCTAGTTCCTGCTTTCTTGTACTTAGTGGTTTTCTCAGATCATCTCAAGGAAGACTGTGCTGTACACCCCGGGACAATGCTGCTATTGCTCGTTTGCACTGCCGTACCGGGTGGAGAGATCAGGAAGCCGCTGTGACACACAGAGGGACAGAAAGGGAGTGCTTTTGGGTACAGACACTAACTAGAGTAGGAATAGGGCCACAGAAAGATGGGAGGGTAATGCTGTGGGTTCCTGTCTCTGTTTCAGTGAGCACTTAATATAAACTGGATAAGCATTTGTAGAAGCACAAAGTTGACAGAAGGTCACTCTCTCAGCTGAGTGTCCTCCACCGAAGATGAACTGGGAGTCATGGTCTTCTACTCTCTGACCCAGATAATAAATGCATGTTCCCCACAGACTGGAAGAGGCTAGGGAGATGTACCAGGAAATCCCTCTTCTACTCCTTAACTGCCTACGTGCAGGAGATGAGAGCTTGAACCCCTACAGGCTGGGTCAGAAATCAACCCCCAATGGCCTATGTCCTGGGAGACATGTCCTATAGAGATCAGCTGAGTGGGGGTTTTGGAGGTTAGCAGCGTGGGTTTGCAATGCCTAAAGAGAGATCTAGGACAGATCTAAGCATCTGGCACTGCTTTTGATTTCTCCCGCTCTCTTCCTGCATTATACTATAGTTCTGAATATTTTGGGTTTTTGTGCATCCTTCTGGCCATTACATGGACATCTGTGAAGTGGGGGCTGGATCTGATGATTCAGAAGTCACTTTAGAGGAAAGAATCAAGCAGTGAAGTCCTCTGCTGGATCTAGCTCTCATCCTCTAGTGTTCTCATCACAACTCTATGACTCTTCTTGATCCAAAATACAGAATAAAAATGGCAAGAAGGGTGTTTTCCTTTGAATAGGGGCAGTGGCTGTATTCCCATCGGATCTCTGAGCGGTAGCAACAGCAGGTTTTGCTATATCATGAGAAGCTGAAGGATGTTGCTGCAATATTGTGCTTAAGATTTGGAATAGTTGAAAAAAGCCTGGAAGAATGATTTGGCAAGTTCCTGAGGATAGGATGGCGATAAAGAATGGGTACTGCTAAGCAGGAATGAATTATCAAGGATATGGCTAAACCTAAGCAGGAATGAATTATCAAGGATATAGCTAAATAAAAATGAATTATCAACTGAGCTAATGGAAGAGAAAAAGAAACTGCTATTCCATAGATCCTATGTGGAGGTCACCTTGGCTTTCCACATTCCACTGTCATTACACATGAATATTCACTGACTTGGAATTGATCCGTCCTTAATCTAGATTTATTTACAATGAGGGTCTCGGCATTTCTTACAAATGACACACATTAGCTCATCACATGGAATATACTGAAGGCTGAAAATATATCTGATGGTCCTGTGCCTCCTTGAGAGCAGTTTTCTAATTCTGAAAATGAGCCTGCGTGTCAGTGAGAGAGAGGTTTCTTCGCACTAAACAACAATAAAACAACCAAGCAAATCATCTGCATTCTCTGCTCTCACAGCCAGTCATAATTTAAGAACCAGCTATGATTGCTGCATTTGTATGTTTTATCAAGAGAGCCAGGGTTGAATCCGACCTTCATTATAGCAATGAAACTAATTCAGTCAAGGAGGATACCCAATCAGGTGGTGATGCGCCTGTATTTCTCTCCCTCTCCTCCCAGCCTTCCTAGATCTTTTCCGGAAAAAAAAAAATTAAAGGATTAATGCATCTTTCCCATATACTAATTTGCGTATTAGTTGCGTATTCATTGACTTGAATGTGGAGTTACTCCAGATCTTCATGACCGTGAGGAAGAAGAAAGGCTGTTCCATCACTCTAAGTATCTACTTGCTAAACACATGGATCGATGACAACATAGAGAGGGATTTACAAAAACATTTGTCATCCTTGGTCTGCTTCAAAAATCCTATTTACAGATCACATTCATACAATGATTTTTAAAAAATCAGGGACGAAAAGGAGAACATAATTTGAGTATGGCTTTTTTTTTAAACACATGGCAAAAACGTAGGAGACTGAAGGCCTGCTAGTGAGGAATCCCTCTGCTGACTTTGCCTTCCGTGCGTTTCTCAGCTCCTTAATTATACAATCACTACACATAGGGTTGGTTCAGAAATATCTTTAAGTGGGTACTCATTTTAAATGTGCAAATAGCATCTCTAACTTCAGCTTAATGTTTTGGCTTCTAATCATAAAGCAACCGCCAGAAGAGTTTTCTCCATTTTCTTAACCTGTCACAATTCCTAGGGCTTTTTGCTACCTCTTTCCCTACTTCTTCCCCAATGACAAAGCACACAGCCGGAATGCACACAGAGTTTGATCCAACTCTCACTTACTCCCAGGACAACAGCATTGCGATCGCAAAAGTTACTCCAGATTTCTATTGATGAAATTGGAGCTGGACCCTAGATTTTCTTCAGAGTACCATTAATGTTTTACATCTTAAGTACCATCTCTAAAGTCTGTAAATACGTCTTCTCTGTCCCAAGCTTAATCCCAAGACTAGGTTGTGCAAAATGAACTCTATGGTCTTGCATAATTCAACAACTGCATGGAATTTACTTTGTCCAGGTTTATAGCACCTAAATCAGGGCCGAGCGTTTACTGTACCTCCCAGTCCAGAACGGAGGCCTGCCACTGAGCTATCTTGTCAATGTTCTCCAATCTCCGCTTCCGCTCGTTGATCTGTAGAGTCACATTCCTCATGACGGCAAGAGCAGCAGCCACATACCTGTAGTCACTGTCGAACACAAAAGAAAAGTCCATGAAACGAAGCCTGACGTGCAGTGGAAATGCACAGGAGTCTATCATTAGCAGCAGCATAATCTCACCAGCCTTTTAGAAAGAAGGTAGGATTTGCCACTCATTTCTACGATACTGTAATTTTTCCATCAGCAATGTCTTTCTGGATCATCACAGAAGAGCACCTTGCTTGAAACTGAAGTTGTGCGTGTATGAGACAGAGAAGCCAGCCAGTTCCTCAGCTTCTTTGCATCAGGGTAGCCCCAATGAGTACAGTCTAGCCTCTACCAACCCAAGGTACAACAGCTGTGAATATTGCTCTTGAAAGTCTTAAGGTGCTCAGCTAAAGAGCATCCTAAAAGAAAGTCTGAACATTTTTATAGCCTGTGTCTCTGGGCCTGGATTTTTCCATTTTTAAAATGAACATTAGAAAATATTTTTCAATTAGACACAAGGCCAGAGCACCTTCCAAGCCTTATGGTGACTCCAAGAGTGCCACAGAGCATCTATCCCATGGCATTCACTCTTACTGCAGACTTCAGGTGAGCAAATCAAAGCAATTCTTTTTTTTTTTTTTTTTTTTTTT